GCGCGCGCCCCGCCCCGCGGGCCTTCCGCCTTCCTGCCCGTTTGCAGAGGAGGAGGAGGAGGAGGAGGAGGAGGAGGGAGGAGGAAGAGGAGAGAGGAAGAAGAGGAGGACGAGGAGGAAGGGGAGGAGGAGGGAGGAGGGAGGGAGGAGGGAGGAGGGAGGAGGAGGAGGAGGAGGAGGAGGAGAAGGAGGAGGAGGGAAGGAGGAGGAGCAAGGGAGGAGGAGGAGGAGGAGGAGGAGGAGGAGGAGGAGGAGGAGGAGGGAGGAAGGAGGAGGAGGAGGAGGAGGAGGAGGAGGGAGGAAGGAGGAGGAGGAGGAGCGACGAGGAGCGAGGAGGAGAAGGAGGAGGAGGAGGAGGAGGAGGAAAGGAGGCAGAGGGGCGAAGAGCGAGGAGGAGCGGCAGGAGGGAGCAGGGGAGGCAGGAGGAGGAGGAGGAGGAGGAGGACCAGAGTAAACCACAGTTGCAGCAACGGTGCTGCAACACACCCTCCCATCCCAAGTCCCCTTCCCATGCATCCCTGCAAGCTTTCCTTCTCACTACAAGAAGCGCCTCCCTGGAAAGGCCAACACAGTTGGGCCTGCCATTTTGGCGGGAACCCCGGTTTAAACATCACTTGCCGTGCATGACTGCCGCGTGTTGGGAACGCGAACACGTATGACCATACAGTTCAACGAGGGTGTCCAATGAGATCCCCCATTTCGAACATGATCGACCCACGACCCTGTAAAGGGACTGAGAAGTGCGAGGAATGGAACCGTCTCGAAGGACCTCAAATGCAGAAGCGGTTGCGCGATGCCAGGGGGCATGCCAGGGGGACGCGCCGCGGAACGTCCCAAGGGACGCGCCAGCGGACGTGCTTGGGGACGTGCCATGGGGACGCACCGCGGCACGTGCCAAGGGGACGCGCTACGGAACGTGCCAATGGACGTGCCACGAGACGTGCCAGGGGACGCGCCGCGCGATGTGCCAGGGGGACTCGCCACGGGACGCGTGCGAGGGAATGTGCCAAGCGACGCGCCAGGGGACGTGCCAGGAAACGCGTCAGGGAACGTGCCACGGGACGTCCCGGACCCAGGGCCACCATCCATTGTAAATTACGCTGCGTCCGCGCTCCTAGGGCCACGATCCATCCTAGATTACGCTGCGTTCGCGCTCCCGGGGCCACGATCTCTCTAAAGTACGTGGCGTCTGCCCACGATCCCTCGTTAACTACGCTGCATCCGCGCTCCCAGGGCCCCGCTCCCTCGTGAATCACGCTGCGTCCACGCTCCCAGGGTCACGTCCTCCAGTAAACGACGCTGTGCCCGCCCCCCCAGAGATCCCTTATACACTACGCTGCGTCCGCGCTCCCAGGGCCACGATCCATCGTAGATTGAGCTGCGTCCGCGCTGCCAGGGCCACGCTCCCCTGTAAGTTACGCTGCGTCTGCTTTCTCTGGGCCACGACCCCTCGTAATCTGCGCTGCGTCCGCGCTCCCGGGGCCGCGCCCCCCCGGTGACTTACGCCGTGCCCGCGCTCCCAGGGCCACGATCCCTTCTAGGAAATGACACCGCATCGGGCCCGCCAGGGCCAGGATCCCCCGTAAATTACGCTGCGCCCGCGCTCCCAGGGCCACGCTCCCTTGTAAATGATGCTGCGTCCGCGCTCCCAGGGTTAAGTCGGGCGTGTCCCCCTACAGGGGATGTTCGACGAGAAAGAAGAACGCAAAACAAATGTTCCAAAGTAGTCAAAAATATTCCAAACATAGTCCCCAGACTATTTTTGACTATTTTTGAACATTCCCCCTGTAGAGCAAAATCCTCCGTTTCAGGTTCCGGAATCACCTGGAACCGTTCCGGGGTGATTCTGGAAGCTTGACACTGACCGTTTCAGGTTCCAGAATCACCCTGGAACCCTTCCGGGGTGAAGACCCATCTGGAGCCATTTTGAGCTCCTCCCAGAAGGTCTCTCTGAGCTCCTTACAGAAGGCCTTATTGCGCTCCTTGCAGAAGGCTTCTCTGAGCTCCTTACAGAAGGCCTTATTGCGCTCCTTACAGAAGGCCTCATTGAGCTCCTTACCGAAGGCCTTATTGCGCTCCTTACAGAAGTCCTTATTGCGCTCCTTACAGAACCCTTTTTGGGCTCCCTACAGAAGACCTTATTGGGCTCCTTGCCGCCGCGAAAAACACGCTTCCCAATAAGAGATTTCATTTTGAAAATTGCCACTTTGGGGGCTCGGCGACACTTCCCCCTATCCCCGAGAGAGCCGTTTTGCGCTGGGGAAGGTCCCAGATGGATTTTCACCCTGGAACGGTTCCGGGGGTGAAAATCCATCTGGGACCTCCCGACGCTGAGCGGGAGGGTTCGGCCGCGAAAAAAAAGCCTCCCAATAAGAACTTTCATTTGGAAAATTGCCATTTTGGGGGCTCGGGTACACTTCCCCCCATCCCCGAGAGAGCCGTTTTGCGCTGGGAGAGGGTCCCAGATGGATTCTCACCCTGGAACGGTTCCGGTGTGAAAATCCATCCGGGACCTCCCGACGCTGAGCGGGAGGCCCCAGCCGCGAAAAACAAGCTCCCCAACACAAGATTTCTTATTTGGACAATAACACTTGTGGGAGCTCGGGTGCACCCCCCCCCATCCCCGAGAGAGCAATTTTGCGCTGGGGGGGGGTCCAGATGGATTTTCACCCTGGAACGGTTCTGGGGGTGAAAATCCATCTGGGACCTCCCGACGCTGAGCGGGAGAGCCCAGCCGCGAAAAAACACGCTTCCCAATAAGAGATCTCATTTGGAAGAGTTGTATTTTGGGGGCTCGGTTACTTCCCCCCATCCCCCGTTTTGCGCTGGGGGGGGGGTCCAGATGGATTTTCACCCTGGAACGGTTCCGGGGATGAAAATCCATCCGGGACCTCCCGACGCTGAGCGGGAGAGCCCAGCCACGAAAAACAAGCTCCCCAATAAGAGATTCGTTATTTGGAAAATAACAATTTTGAGAGCTCGGGTACACCCCCCCATCCCCGAGAGAGCTGTTTTGCGCTGGGGGGGGTCCAGATGGATTGCGAAGGCCTTACGGCCGGTGCCGCCGACCCTGAATAGCGACGACGACGACGACGACGACGACGACGACGACGACGACGACGACGACGACGACGACGAGCGCTCTTGGGCCATTGGGGGCCTCTTGGGGGTAGTTTGTGGGCCTCTTGGAAAGCTCTTAGGGACCGCTTGGAAGCCTCGTGGGGGCCTCTTGGGGCTTCCTGGGGGTCTCTTGGAGGGGGCCTGGGACGTCTTGGAGGCTTCTTGGACGGTCTTGGGGCTATCTTGGGCGTTTTCGGCCGATCTTTGGGCGACTCGGGGCCCTCTTGGGCCGTCTCGGGGGCCATCTTGGGCATTCGGACCTCATTTGGAGTGTTTTCGAGGTTTCTAGGCCGCCCGAGGAAAAACGAATCTGCCCCCCCACCCCCCCCGGGACACCCCCCGGCCCGGGACCCCCCCCGGGACCCCCCCGGACCCCCCCCCCTGGGGAAGGGATCAAAGGGAAGGGGCTTCCCTTCGACTCGATTACGACACTGCTAGATTTTTCTCTCGCTCACGAGCTTGAGAAGGAAGCTGCAGGGAAAGGGGACGACGGAGGCGACGACCGACGGAGATGACGACTCGAACAGCCAAGTCCCTCGCACACGCCGACAGGGTCGGCGGATTTTCACTTTGGCACGGTTCCGAGATGAAAATCCATCTGGGACCTCCCGACGCTGAGCGGGAGAGCCCAGCCGCGAAAAACAAGTTTTGGAGGCTAGAGCTGTTTTGCGCTGGGGGGGGTCCAGACGGATTTTCATTTTGGAATCCGGGGTGGAGATCCATCTGGGACCTCCCGACGCTGAGCGGGAGGGCCCAGCCGCGAAAAACAAGGGTCCCCAATAAGAAATTCCATTTCGAAAATTGTCATGTTGGGGTCTCGGGCACCCCCCCCCGCATCCCCGAGAGAGCTGTTTTGCGCTGGGGGGTTCAGATGGATTTTCACCGTGGAACGGTTCCGGGGTGAAAATCAATTTGGGACCTCCCGACGCTGAGCGGGAGGGCCCAGCCGCGAAAAACAAGCTCTCAAATAATAGATTTCGCTTGGACAATGGCCATTTTGGGAGCTCGCGTACACCCCCCCCATCCCCGAGAGAGCCGTTTTGCGTCGGGAGAGGCCCAGATGGATGTTCACCCTGGAACGGTTCTGGGGGTGAAAATCCATCTGGGACCTCCCGACGCTGAGCGGGAGGGCCCAGCCGCGAAAAACAAGTTCCCCAATATGAAATCTCATATGGGAAATCGCCATTTTGGGAGCTCGGGTACACTTCCCCTCATCCCCGAGAGGCACCCACAAGGCTCCTGAGAGCGCCCAGATGGACAAGTATTTGTTTCAGTTTCCAATTTTCACCCCGGAGGCGTTCCAGGGTGATTCTGGAACCTGAAACGGGTCGATGGGGACAGGCCCGATTTAATCCCAGGGCCATTGCCCCCCAATGAATTACGCTGCGTTCGCTCTCCCAGGCCCACCTGGGCATCCTGGGGCGCCCAGGCCACTCGAGTTCTGGAAAACAAGCGTTTCGCAGGAGACGTCCTCGAAATTCATGCGCGCGGGACGCGCCGTCCTCGAGCGGGCACGCAACAAGTCAACATAGGCATGTTCGGCTGGTGAATTTTTCGGATCGAGCTGCGCATTTTACGTTGTACTTGCGCAAGGCGAACGATGGTTTTCTTGAGGTGCAAATGGCGACGATGAGATGGAAGGTAATGACCGAGCCCCCTTCCCCCGTAGAATCTTGACACGGGCGGAATCCGGGGTCCGCGGATCCGATTTCTCCCGGCTGCCCGTTGTAATTTAATTTTATAAATTTAAAACGCGGTAAAAAGTGGCTCCGCCGTAAAACACAACACCGAACACGGATCCAGCAAATCCGAAATCGGATCCGCGCAGACGAAAATCGGATCGACAGAAGCAGACTCCAAAGCCACAATTGGATCCGAGC